AAGACAAAAGATGGGGGAGACAGCAGGAGTCAGACACCGACTGAGAATCCAAGACCCATCCCCATCCCCGGCTGGGCAGTGTCTCCCATGCTGCATCCCGGCGTCATGTGGCTGCCCAGACAGCCACCCCTCCCCGCCCCCCACAGTCAGCAAGAAGCCTGGCTAGCTCTCTTTACTGGCTAACCACGCAAGGTGTCCCCACACCCCCTAGACAGACCCACCACCATCCCCCAGGACACCCCCTAGACAGACCCACCACCATTCCCACCATTCACCATTCCCCTCAACGCCAGCGTGGGTACTGTTGCCTCAGAAAAAAAGCCCGTCCAGGAACCTAGAGCACGAGGAGCTGGTTTCTGCATGTCATCCCCGACCAGCCCCTCTACCAGGCCTCACCTCTCCCCGAGGTAGTCCCCGATGGCTGTCTTGTTGAGCCCTTCGCCTTTGTACAAAAACTGGGCGATGTCTTCACACGTGTTCTTCAGTAGATCATTCTCTATTAAGAACTGGATCCCCTAGAAAAGGACAACAAATACGCCAATGGTGCTAGGCCTAGGCAGGAGGGAGAAGGGGAAAAGGCAGAGGAAGAAGTGGGTTGTGGGAGCACTGGACACGGAGCATCTAATAAATACCTACCCACTGACACAAAGGGTCAGGGGTCACAGTTGAGGAGCCAGGGCTTGCAACTCCAGACAACCCAGGGTCTACTGCATGGCATTTGCTGCACACAACGCAGTACGAACTGTAACACTTGGGAAAACACCTTTGGGTTCTACCTGCGCACTGCAGAAAACCCATCCTAAAGACTATGGGGCATGGCTGCTTCCCTCTCACTTACCTTCTTAGGGTCCATGTTAAATTTTTTCCTGCCCATGGCTACCTGTTTGTTCCTCTGCATGTTTTTCCTGTAAAACAACCACCATAGCCATTTTAGTACTTCAGGCACCTGGAAAGTTTTGAAAGACTAATATAATTCCTACACGCATCCACTAATTTACAGGTATTTTTGCAAGATTTATCCAGGAAAGCAACAGGTTGGTCTAACTATGAAAAGTGAATTGAAACCCTGACTCGGCTCCATGCTCATTTGTGCTCCTTCTACCCCAGATCAGTGGTTTTCTTTTTAAACATGGTTTTTTAAAAAAGCTTTAGCACGGTGTAATTTACTTGTCGAATAATACACCTATTTTAAGTATATATGCGAATAATTTTAGCAAGCTTATCGAATTGCGCAACCATCACCATAATCCAGTTTCAGAACGTTTCCATCGCCCCAGTAAAATTCCTCACACCCATTTACAGTTAATCCGCACTCCTAACTCCACCCCCAGGCAACTACTCATCTATTTTCTATCTCCACGGATCTGTGTATTCTGACATTTCATATAAACAGAATCATAAAACATCTGGACTTTCATGTCCGGCTTCTTTCGCTTAGCACAGTGTTTCGCGGCTCCTCTGGGCTGTGGTGAGTGCCAGCGCCGCACTGCCTCTCACTGCTGGACACGCACACACCACGGCTGCTTAGCCACTCACCACAGGAGGGACATTTCGGCTGTTAGCAGTTTGGAACTTCTACGCATAAGGTTGCTATCAGCATCTGTGTACACGTCTTTGTGTGGACATATGTTTTCGTTTCTCTTGGGGAGATACCCAGAGGTGGACACAGCTAGATCATATGGTACATACATACTTAACTTTTTAAGAAACTGTCAAATGATCAGCAGTTTTCCCGGCTGTGCATCAGAATGAAAAATACAGATTCACAGACCATGCTTCTCGCAGTGTGGCACACAAACCAGCAGCCTTGGGAGCACGCCCGATATGAAGAATCTCAGTTCTCGTACATATGTGCGTACCAATTGGGGCCTCGCCGAAGCAGATCTGACTCTGAATGTGCAAAGGGCCTGTGCTTCTCCATGTTTCACGTGATCCCATGTGTGGACTCTGAGTAGCAATGGACCAGCTGAATCATTCAGAACTTAAGGGACAGAGCCTAGGAATCTGAATTTTTAAAACCTCCCGTGGCAATCTGGTGTGCACCCAAATTTGGGAAAGGCTGCAATCAATGGCAATAGTAATTTTATAATTTCAGGCAGCAAAACAGTTGTTTAGAAATGGAATTATAAATGTTATTTCCTTGAGAAACAAATGTCTTCTCTGGCTAAATCCACAGAGGAGGGAAAATGTTCCTAAGTGTTTTGAGGTATCAGAACTTCAGGATGTGAGATAATCAGGGATCCCCTGTGAACAGCTACCTTAAAATACAAAGTCACAGAGGGAATGCACAGTTTAATTTCAGCTAAAATAAAGGGTTATGACCAGATATCTAGAAATTCCTATTTAATTTAAATGGTTGTCTGATCTTTTTTCCTAAATCCAGAAAGATTACTCTGATCAGTATTTCCAAACAAATACCACAAGGAAAGCCTGTTTCTGATTTCCAGTAAGAGTGGTGTGGCAACTTCAGAGGCACCGACAGAAGCAAGGTGTGAAACTGCTCAGAATCCTCAGTTTGGTCCCTAACAAAAGGCTTTCCTGTGGCCACCAGAAAGTGCACTCCCAGATGTCTGGCAATCAGTTTCTGCCACGTGACTGCCTCACCAGAACCGTCCCCTAATTTCATTAGCCAGCCCGCCTGCTTCTCTGCCTTCCCTCATGGAGACCCGGTGGCTCTAGGTCCAACGTGGGCACTTCTGTAGGGGCTTTCCCCAGTCCCCAGACAGGGCTGTCCCCCTGGCAGGGTCCTCAAAGTGAAATAGCCATGTTACTGCTATCATACCACCTTAGTTAACCAATGTGTATAAACTTCAGAAAGTTTTAAATGTTTCAGTATGTGAATATATTACTTGTATTTGATTAAAGAGTATTCAGTGTCATTTTACAAAATGTTGGCATCAGGTCTTTGATTAAAAACAAACTCTCTCCTGTGGAAAAGCTGGAACAAATGTGACACCTGTTTGAGGAACAAATCCATGTGAATCTGAGAATTATCCATGCGGAGTCTCAGGGATCTGCAGAATAACTCCCCTTTTGGGGCTTTCAATACAGGGAAACCATTTTAAGTTCCACATTAAAAATATAATAATAACCTTATCACCACTCCCTGACTCCCAGCTCCAGACGCAGCTGAGGGGAGCTACAAGTCTCCATAAACTCACTAGCTGAGGATAGCTGTATGCATATATAATAGGTACCACTAATATTTCCTCCCAATCTGTGGCCTGCCTATTCATTCTTTTAACCGTTATCTTTTACAAGAGCAGAAGTTTTAAATTTTGATGAACTCCACTTTATCCATCTCTTTTAAACTATGATTGTTTAAATGTAAAGTTAGAAAGCTGTAATCCAAAACACCAAACGGACAATACAGAGCCTGGCAGTGATGCCCTGGCTGCCTTCTCTGGATACCCAGCTTCACTAACCCTGACAGCACTGCCCACAGGAGTCTACAATAACAAACCGAATGGTCTTATGAAGCCAGACAGGGAGACTTAGGCTTAGAAAAATACAGACATAGGGTGAATTGGAAACAGCCTATTTATTGCATTAAGCAGTTAGAAAACGGTCTGGGAACCCCATTCAAAGCTAAACTCTCAAGGTCACTAACATTTCATGTAATTAAAAGAAAAAAATTCAAATGGTCCTTGTCATTTTACACTATAATTTCATTTCTACGTTCTCTTTCCTTAAGCATTAGGGGAGGCACAAACAAGCCCCCAATTATACCCAGACATAACTGCATACTCCAATCTTTTGAAATTATATTAGAAGAATTCATCAAGCTTTTCCTTTACACAAAGGAAAACCAGACACTTTAAAATACAAACACAGTGGACAACAGAGGGGAATGATTCACATAAAAATTTAAGAGTAGTTTAAAGCTTTCTGGGACTCTTGAAGTTCTCCAGTTCAATCTTTCGAACAACGTAAAAAGCTTCTGTATGTCAGGAGTCCTAGCAGTAAAGGCTGGGAGGCAGAAAGTATGGGTATGAACGCGCTCGTCAGGAACAGAAAGACATAAAACTTACTTTCTCCTCGCATGTGCCTGGTCAGTGCAATTAAGGCCTGTGAGCTTTGAGAAGCCATAACCACAAAAACCACCCGGCAGGAAGGCGACCCACCTTTCTTCTGTGGATCCCAGGTTTTCAATTTCATTAGCTACTTCTGCTATCTCATCCTTCAGCCTCTACAAAACAGACAGTCCAGAGTTACCGGAAGAGGAAGATACAAATTAAGGCTTATGAAATCTCACATAACCCCCACCAACCAAAAACAAAATAAAAGCAAAATGAAATAAGACAAACCAAAAAATCCAAGGAAGTAAATTAGGAAAATTCATCTATTCAACAAATATTTATTGAGCTCCTACCAGACAGTAAGCATTCTAGAAAACACAAAGGTAGAACAAGATGTAGCTCCTGACCTCAAAGAATTCATAGTCTAGGAGAGTTATATGTATAGACGCTATGCAAAAAAATGCATGTTCCACTGGAAAATGGCTGCTTTATTACAGTCTTTCAGGACAAATCCGCAGCTTCCTGAACACAAGTGTGATGGAGGCTCCCAGGACAAACTCTCCCAGCCGGAGCCAGGCTGCAGAGTCAGCAGCAGCTGTGCCGGGCCAACACTGCCGCCGAGTGGCCGGCAGAGGGAATGTCTGGTCAAAGCGGCTGTCCGTCCACACCACCCTCCCCATTGCAGGAGGTCCTGGTCAGAACAGACGGATTCTCACGGCAAAGGGGACTTGAGCTGAGAACTACTTAGCTTTCTCAGCATCGACCAGTGAAACAGGAACCAAAGAATCAGGGCAAACTATCAAAACACTCAAATTCACACCAGAGCAAGTCAAGTCTTTCCTCACCATACTGTGCCACTTTGGGGTAACTGGGTTCTCTCTTTCACCCCACCCCTGACGGTTTATAAAAAATTCTAGAAGAATAACAATTGCTGCCGCAGGGCTAAAATAACCCAATTATTGGCTTCTATGACATTTCTTACAAAGCTTCACAGTTGTGGAAAGGAACTTGGCAAAAGAAGAAAACTGCTATCACTGACTAGTACATCTAGGGACCAGAAATTATGCTACGTCTTTTATAAATAATAATTCATTTAATCCTTACAACCACCTGTGAAGCAGGAGTTTTCGTTCGTATCTTACAGATGAAGAAACTGAAGTTCAAAGAACCAAAACTCTCTCATCTCAAATCATTTGCTAATAAGTGGCACAGCCAGGACCAGCGCGTCTAGCTTGACCCGAAGTCTGTGTTCTCATCACCTCCCCTCATCCACTCTCCACTCAGCATGGCAAACACAGCAGTGACAACTTTGCTCAGAAGACAGGGGACCTGGGGGTCCCTCCAGCTCTGACAAGTGACAGCTGAACCTTTACAAGCCACCCAATCCCTTTGAGATTCCATTTTCTCACCTGTAAAGCAAAGGTGACAATCAACACTACACACTGCAGAGCTGCAGTGGGAGCAGGTCACAAGTGTCATGAGAAGACACTCTGTAAAGCACACATTTTTACACAAATAGAACCGTCGCTGTGGTTTTTATGTCGGC